TGTGCCCAAAGTTGCCCATCTCATGAGCTTCTGGTCCTGGAGAGCCACTCCCTTGGGACAGCACTGAGCTCATTTCTGCTCCATCCAGTACCTCCCTCCAGGATGCGCTGACGGCACTTGGCTCCACAGCCAGGGAGTTGGCACCAAGCAGGGTGTGGAGCAGTGCTGAGCCCTCCCTACTGACAGGATGCGGCCCGCCAATGAGTGGGTTTGATTTGGAGTATCTGTGTGAGAGCAGAAATATGGGATCCCCAGTGGGCCCCTGAGCATCCGCGTTTCTGGCTATAAACCCCGTTCCAAGGAGGGGTCTTTAGAGAGCCGGGCCAAGATGATCCACAAGCCGCAGCCGTCCCCCGCCCCCTCCCTGAGAGGAATTGCTCTCACACAAATGAAATGTGTGTAATTAATGGGCAGGGGGCTGGACAGGTCCGAGATGAAAGCGTTTCCTGGACTTGTCCTTCATTTGCATGGTATCAGAAGCTGTTCAGAAGGTGTGACTTTTCCCACAGGGAGCCCTCAGCTCAGTGGCACAATAAAGCCAGGACTTCTTACCCAGAATTAATTAAAGGAGGGGGATGGGATGGCAGGGAGATGTTTGAAAGCTGATCCCAATGCAATAAACAAACACCCCAGTCCTTCCCAAGCCAGAGTATGCCCAAGGGAGCCTGGGCGAGCCGCATCCATGCCACAGCATCGCACAGCCCACCGTACTTGCTGGGCACCCTTCCCCAAGCAGATCTTACAGCAAAGTTGTCATGGGTTGGCCTGGCAATGAAGACCAGAAGTGTCTGTAAAGGGAGAGAGGAAATGGGAGAGGAGACAGCGCATGCCGAAAAGTTTGGGGCTTGGTGAACCAAGCCCTGGTGCAGCCCCTGCTCAGACAGCACAGACCGCTTTTCTTGCCTCTTCAATATATTCCTGCCTCTCTACTAAATGTGACCGTAGCCCCATTTAACCTGAAAACAGCTCTCCTCCCTGCCTGGCATTGCCCTGGTGTGTTCACACCACGTTTACTTCTTACCCTGTGTTGGCTGGCTGGACCAGCCAGGCCTCCCGGTCTCGTCTCACGAGGCAGACTCTCCCAAACATCACTCAGCCCCAGCCTTGTCGGTGTGTCCAGACGGCATCGCATGGCAGCGTCCCATACGGGCAGGGACCACAGGCACCACTGCTTGGAGCTCAGGACGGGGCAGCCATCCCTGCGCCAACAGCCAGGGCAGTGCAGCTTCTCTCCAGCTTCATCTGCCACCTCCCTCTGACCAGCCGGCAGCAGTGAGAGGACCACAGGGTGACACTGGGCATGGTGGCACTACAGACAGGCACATCCCCATCACAAGGACTTTGCTAGCTCAGAGCAGGGTTTTTTACCCAAAACGCCCATGCTAACAGCATGAGTTGACAGAAGCCACCCACCTCCAAAACCTTGCCTGGGTCCAGTCCCAGCTCAGTGTCCCGCAGTCCCCAGGGCCTTTGAGTGGCTGTGATTCTCAGGCTTGGTCCACACACCCTCTGATGATGGAGAAGGAAAAAGTCCCAGATTCCTGGGCTGATGATTGACCCGGTGCATTCAACCAGCAGCCAGGGTTTCTGCATCCCTGGAGGAACAACAGGTACCACTGGGGACTGTCCTCACCTCCCCGCACGGGTGGTGGGAGCTACCAGCCCTGAAGGACCACACACTCTGGACCCTGCAGGGCCCACTTCGTTGGGAAGAGCATGAGCTGCTCCAGCCGTGCCAGGGACTAAGAAGTACCAATGCAGAGACAGGGTATGAGGAACCATTAATTAATTCACTTACTCATTAACTAACTAGTAGTGGGCTCTTTAATTTTCCAGGCAAAGGCAAAACAACATTTGCTGGCTGGAAGCTGAAACTGAACAAATTCAAGCAATAAACAAAGCCCAAGTTGTAGTGCTCCTAGGCAGCATGGCCACCCAAAAGCCCTTTAATGAAAAGGGGCTAATTAACCATGGACCAAACAAGCTGGGAAAGCAGGGTGTCCCTTCCCAGGAGGCAGGCCTGGGTGCCTTTCGCAAAGGCTGGCTGCGGCTGAGCAGATGTCAGGAGTTGGGGATGGTGTGTGGTACAGAGCTGTGCAAGGACACGGGGGTGTCCATCCCTGGGCTCAAGCCCGTAGGGTGCTGGGTGCCCCCTGCTCCAGCCCTCAGCTGCACCCGGGGATGGCAAGGATGGGGCAACAACCTTACCGGAGGCTGAGCACCCACAGCGTGCCCTTCCCTGCCATCGCTGTCCCTGGGGGACAGATAACAAGGGAGGAGACGTCTGCTGACCCGCATGGAGCCAGTCCTGCCCTTCTGCTACCCTTACCTGGAGCAGCAACCCGGCACCAATTGACTCAGGTTCACAAAGCCATTAGGAAAAGCAATTAGACAAATTAATGAAAGAAAAGCACCCATTAAGGACTATCAAACACCATCTCTGCCTGGGGAAAGGCCAGGAGCCATTCACTTTCAGTTCGTGTAGTCTGGAAACCACAACATGGGCTTGCCCTAGCGCTGTCGCTGTCAGCTGCAGGCTCCTGCAGCCCTTGGGTCCCTCCTGGGACAGCCGGGCAAATGCCGTCTGCGCTGTCCTGCAGCCCAAGCATCGTCCATGGCCTCCGTGACGCAGCAGCGGTGCTCAGATGCAGAGCGTGGCCAAGCGCTCAGCCCCTCATCTTCCCTCCTTCAAACCCATGATATACGCTGACAGCTCAGCCCGGCCCACTCCATCAGCCAGGGGATCAGCTCATCCTCGCACTCCACGGACAAGGGAACGCCGAGCATTAAGCGGTGCCGCAGGCTCCCCATGAGGATGGCAGCACCAGCGGGGCTGACACCAGCGATTCCAAGACTGTCACCTTGCAAGGTTGCTTCATTTCTGCAATTTATCTTTTTTTAAACATATTTAACAGTTTTATTCTTGCATCTTTCCATATCTGAGACCACTCCATATCCGTATCCCCCCATCGGCTACTGTGAGCAAGACCCAGCACCTCAGCAGCACTGAGTATCCTCCAAAGGAGGGGAGTCAGCAGCCCGCTTTGCACAGACACCGAGCGCACCCAGACCAGAGAGGAACCAGATACTGTCTCTCTCTCTCTTGGAAAGCCTCATCCCATGCTTAAAAGCGGTGATCCAGGCTCTGTTGCACTATGTCCCCATTCAGCCTGCAATGGGCCCGTCCCCACAGGGCAAGGAAGAGGCATCTGCCCATTAAACCTGGAATTTGCTGCAAAGAAAACCACAATTTCCACAAGACTCATCTAGATCCAACATCTCAGGGCATCCTCCCACTTCCCACATCTGTTCCCTTGGGAAGGGGCTCATGCCAAGCAGCAGCCTCAGCCCTGTCCTGAACTTTGCCATTCTCCTTCTCCTCTCTCCACCCTGCCTCTGCAGCCCCAGCCCCTCTCTGGAAAGCATCAGGCTCATTTAGACTAATACAAATTTTTTAATGCACATATTAAATAAATATTTCAATCATTTCATATTCAGTTTGTACACAACCAAAAACAAAACAAAAATCCTCAAGGAAACAGAAAAAACAAACAATCTTAAAAGATTGGATGAAAAGTCACCCCTGGTTCTGGCTCCTATCCAGTGTCTTTGTTTGCCCTCCCCGTGAAGAATAATTGCTTTAACCCTTTGGAGAGAGCCGCAGTCCCAGGGCAGCATGTGCAGAGCGGGGCTGGCTGGGGACGTTCACTCAAGAGATCTAATGTTTCCTTCAGGTTTTTTTTTTTTTCCTAAATAGAAAATTTAGCTTCTGTCAATACAGAAATTTTGAAAGAAAACCTCTCCTTTCCTAGGAGGATGAGGGCGGTAGAATTTCTTATCAAAGAGCAAACCCAGAAGAGATGGTTGACAACAGAAGCATCAGCCACAAACTGAATATTACGACAAAACCAGCCCCAAATGGCTCTACAGTAATTTGTAAACTTTTTTTTAATTTTACGGATGAAAACTTCCATCTGATAAAAAAATAGAAACAGAAAAAAATATCAATTTTTGGTGAGAAGTTCACATTTTCCACATGGAAAAAAAAAAAGACATACAGGAAAAAAACCCCAACAGTTACCAGCCTGCTCCACGGCAGCCGTCGCCCACTGCCTCACCTTAGTAGCGTAAAACAAACCAAATGCCAAAGATGCTCTCATGGGTAAGAGGTACCAAGTCAGTTCAGGACTTTCTCTGGGGCATCCATCACCCCTGTCCCCTCCTGAGAAAAAATAAGTTGGGAGTTGTGAAGCCAGCAGCGGTTTCAAAGGATGGAAGAGACTTCCAGCAACCCCTCACTCAGCTGAAGAAGTAGGAGCCTCCATGGAAGGAAAGCATGGAGCGGTCCTCGCCCCGGGCATCGCAGCCAGCCCCCACACATCACCCCGGCTGCAAACCCACCCGGGAGACCTCAGGCCATCTCCAAAATAAGTCCCCTTCCCTTAATTTTTTTCCAGCCTCTCCATCTTCTCCTTTAAGCGTTAATTCAGTTCATTCAAGTAGCACTTTGCTCCCAGATTTGGATTTCCATTTTTTTTTTGCTTGTTTGTTTTAAATGGTGATATTTTTTTTTTCTCCTTTACCCCTAGAGCTAGAAAAAAAAAAGTTACAAAATAAAACAAGACCCCAAACAGACTAGAACATTTCTAAGTGAAGGGCTCTTCCCCCTTCACCAGTCTTTGAATGTTTCATTCCTTTTAAAGTTGGAGTACAAAAATAGAGCCTCTCTTATTCTTTTTTTTTCCTTTTTTCATTTTTTTTTTTTTTTTTTTTTTTTAGTAAAGACCAAACAACACCCCCCCCTAAAATTATCAACAACTAGAGCAGGTAATTTTTTTTATCCTCCCTCCCACTTTTTTTTGTTTAATACCCATATGGGAAAGTGTCTACGTATAGTCCACCAAGCTTGGAGGAGGGTCGTCCGGGAGAGAGGCAGGCAGGGAAGGCAGAGGTAGGCAAGTCAAGGGCCTGCCCTGGAGCTGGAGTTTCTAGTCCTTTTACTTCTCCGGTTGAAGGGGTAGTTGAGGAACTCAAAGCGTCTGTGGGGCTCGGTGGTCTGGTGGCCCTTGGGAAGCCTCTTCATGAAATGCACCTCCCGTTGGTGCTGCCGAGTCTTGGAGCCCTTGCGCGGGCGGCCCTTGCGGGTGAAGGCCATATACCAGCCCTCGTACTTGGCGTTCTGCAGCGCCGTGTAGTTGTTCTCCAGGACGATCTCCGTGAAGACGCAGTCCTTGCCTTTGCCGTTGCTCTGAGAAGGGAAGAGGGGGGGAATTTAAGCAACGGTCGGAGGGCTGCTTCTTGCTGCCCCAAGCTGGACTGGCTGGGGTGGCAGCAGGGTTGCCATGCTTGTGGGCAGCCAAGGCCTTGCTTTTCCACCTCTTCTCGTACACATCTGAATTTTCACATACAAATCTGCTTTTCCTGAGAAAAGCTGGGGGCAGCACTCATTGCGGCACGGGCAGATGCTGCTCATTGCAGCTTGCATCCCAGTGTGATGCCAGCACCGGGCTGCAAGCCCTAACATTGCTTGTCCCAGCCTTCCCTTCCACTCACCCGCAGGGAGATTTTTGCCCGCTCTCATCCTGCCCCAATCCGTGTCGGGGCTGGATTCCCCTGCTAACATGACCATAAGCAGCCTCTCCATCCCAGTGGCAATTCACCCACCCATCCCATTCCCTCCAGGGTGTTTAACATAGGACAGGCTTCAAGGGGCCGACAAGGCGACGTGGGGTCCATGGGGATGGTGCCCAGAGACGCAGATGGCAGGGAGCACAGGGGCAGCTGGAAGCTGAGCTCCTCCCCATTATCCTCCCCATTACAGGCAGCAGTGGGACCAGGGAGGGAACCCACATCAGCCAGCCCCCGGGAGGGAGCCGCCACGGAAAATCCTCCCAGACAATCGCTGTCCCAGCGGGATTTTGCACATCCAGCCCCCTCTGCCTCCAGGGAGGGAGCGTCAAGGCTCGGAGGGAGCGTGACTAACCGGAGCGAGGCAGAGCCAGCCCTGGGGCCAGCCCCATGGAGCATCTTAACATTCCCAAGCTGGAAGCTGAGCCCCTCCCCATTATCCTCCCCATTACAGGCAGCAGTGGGACCAGGGAGGGAACCCACATCAGCCAGCCCCCGGGAGGGAGCCGCCACGGAAAATCCTCCCAGACAATCGCTGTCCCAGCGGGATTTTGCACATCCAGCCCCCTCTGCCTCCAGGGAGGGAGCGTCAAGGCTCGGAGGGAGCGTGACTAACCGGAGCGAGGCAGAGCCAGCCCTGGGGCCAGCCCCATGGAGCATCTTAACATTCCCAGCACTTGTACCATGTAATCGGGGAGAATAGCCCAGCAATCCGCCTATTTGTTCGGGGACATACAAGGAATGTGTCCCACACGGCACCCGCCCGCCTCCCTTGTCCCCCTACTTCTCCCCTGCCACCTGGGCTGCAGGGTGGCTCATCCCCCTGCCCTCCAAGGGTGTACGCTGGCTGAGCCCTGGGATCCCCATCCCACCTCCCCATCTCCACAGATAGGCTCCATATCGGGTAAGAGCTCCTCTCCCAGCAAGCCCCAGTCAGTACCCACAGCGCATCCCTGGCTCTCTGGTGCCCTTGATCCCAGCACCCTACCTTGCCAATTAGCTTCCCCTTCTTGTTCATGCAGATGTAGAAACCCGTGGCCGCTCCCTTGATGCGCACGCGGCTCCCGAAGGTGTCCGTCTCCACGATGAGCTTGGCTGGGGAGAGCAGCAGGAGTAAAGAGAGAGGGAGGTCAGAGGGGCTCTGCGATGGGGCAGGCGCAGTGATGGAAATCCCAGAAATGCCTGACGCTGGGCACTGTAGGCTCACGCCGGGCAGGGAAGTGACTGGGCTGGGGAGAGCCCTGAAATCAGAGCATGAGGTTAAGAGCCAGTCTTGACCCCTCTACCCTGCCACCATGTCCCTGCATAACCTTGGTCACATCCTTTTGCCACCCTGAGCCATGCTGGGGGGGGGGGGGAGTGTCTCGTTAGCTCGGCTACAG